AATAACCTAGTATTGATGTTAGAAATGTCTGTCATTCAGTCTTTCCAGTTTCGCATCACTTTATATTTATTACGTCACTGTATGTTACCACAGCATGAACTGTCTATGAGGCCTAGGAAAATTTCCATTTCTCACAGGTGATGCCAGTCTTGCTACAGATTTTTATCTTTCCAGCTAAACTCTCAGTTTTAAGGCTACTTCCAATCCCGATTAAGTAGGCTCTTAATTTTTCTGTCAAATTATAAAAGCGACTTTAGGTCTAGGTTTATCACACTGTATTGTGCATACAACTGTGATAAACTGTGCGACAATAAACAGTGTTGTTGTTGTGACTTATCTCACTTGTCTGTCACTTATCTGACAGTAATACAATATCAAGTCCACGAACTTTATCGTACCCAAGAGGCAAGGATTATGACCGTCACTGGCTTAGGCTCTGGGCATCTAATAAGGTGACTGTACGCTTTTGCTCAGCTCCGTGTGAGTTTTGAAGGAAACCTCCCTGGGGCTTGGACGCATGGGTCTACAACTCCTGTTCCCCTTTCACAAACGTCTCGAAAGATCTTTCAGCTGGACACTATTTTAAGTGCATTCATGCCTTAACGACACTATACACTTACAAACATTAATGCCTTTTTCATTTTATAATCAATAATTAAGACAACTTCTGTATAATTTCTATCGATACTTCATTTTTGATTATATATCACATTGATATAATTTATAAGTTATCTAAAGTTACCTTTTAAATAGTTTCTCATAATTAGTGTAGTTGATAAAATGTTCATAAAAGACGTTTCTAATGCCATGTATATTATGTACCCAGCTATAACTTTTTTTGTATTTTATATTTCCTCTATAAACGATGGTTGACTGATAAAGCAATGGCAATGCCAGTCGCGTAGCTAGGATGGGGCAAAGGGGGGGGACATCTGTTCCCGGGCGCAACATCGCCCAGACGCTCTATCCCTTCCTGTGTGCTTCTTGAACAGTATAAAAACATCTTTGCCTCTCAAATTAAATACATTAAAAATTTAACGTTAACGTCAAACATTTTAGTATTTGTCCATTACCTGGATTTAAAATGATTTTGTGTGGTTTAAGAGAAAAGACTATGATAAATCGCCAAATATGGCATCCTTGTTAAACTAAAAAAGTGAGAAAATAGGACGCCATAGTCGTAGTCGATACCTATATTTATCACTAAAATCTCAAATCCCAGCTATTTCTAATTTTGATTATGTAAGTATGAATTTTCTTTATTGCTTAATAATAATTATTTAGTTTTATTAATTATTTATTTTCTACCAAAAAAAGCAAAGCCGGCACATATCTTCTGTTCTTACCTAATTGCTAAGCTTCCGCGCCCCAATGGAATTCCAAGACAGAACACCTCAAGAGGTGTTCCGAGGGTTTCCTATTTTCAAACTCTCGATAGGATTTCGGCTCCTGGTATATTTTGAGTGTCCTTTGTTGCCCAGACATTATACTCTTACAAACATCCGTGCCTTCTCTGGGATTGCCGAGATGTTCGGTACAGTAGTCAGCTTCACTAACCACTATGGTCGTCTCTAACTATTCAGCTGATTGCTTAGCTATAGGAGGTTAAGAATTTTAGTGCATTTTTAAGCTGCTTTTTTTTTTTTTTTTTTTTTTTTTTTTTTTTTTAAGTTACTGTTTCAAATGGTGGCGTTCTTTTCGTTAATGTTTTTTTTTTTTTTTTTTTTTTTTTTTTTTTTTTTTTTTTTTTTAAGTTCAGCATTTCTTTGTTGTAGCTCAATCTTTTGAATGTGACACTTGTTTCTGGATCTCTTAAACTATTTTTGTTTTAATACCTGAAGGCAGGTGTTATTGTTTTTAATATTCGAATTTTGGGTCATGATAAATGAAAATTTTTACCCTTTCACTTGCGAGAAATATTTGTTGAAAGCCTTGTGTGTAAACGATCCAGCGGAAAAAATTGTGAACGTCTGAATAGTTAGATTTTCTTAATATAATAAGTGCAATGGATTCTGTGGTGCATTAATTATAATTGTATTATACCATACCACGTTTTCCTCATACTCTAGTGTTCGGTTTTTCTATTCTTGGACATTAGTTTTTAATATATGACTTTTATTCTGCGTATCTTAAATTTCTGGGTGTCAATTCTAAAACCAGTCGACCTGTTGCAACTGATTAACTTAAAAACATTTCAATTGAAAGGTTTTTAAGTTGCAGTCTTAAAATGGTATCTGTATATGAAGATAGGATTAAATTTGTTGTTGGTCTTGATGGAGTTTCTGTAATAATGTATCACATGCTTTATGGCTTTATGTGTGTAATAATTCAAAAGTTGTTGCCACAGCAGAGAACACGATTTCTGGAGTGTCAGAGCTTGGTGCAAAAAAGATGCTAGCTGTCGCGTCGATTTAACATTTTTTTTTATTCGTGAGACGAACATTCTTATTTTAAATTACATAGCCCAAATTTACGCGATATGCGCATTCGTTCTGGAACTTGTGCCTTTTCTGCATCTTAGAACAATTAATTTCGATGAAGGAAATCGTATATTTTCGAATATTTTAGAGCAGCAGGCAGCAAGCTAGTTGACAAGAGAAAAGGGAGAGCTAGAATTCAACGGGTCCAAGATAAAATTGCGGATCAAAAGAATTTAGTTTAAGCTTTGTTTTGATTAATTAATTTTATGTTTCGATTTTCAACTTATGAATTTGTTATTATTTAAAACACTATGTAAATATCTGCATTATTAGTTTTATGTAAAATTCATGTCAGGAAGATTAATTTTGAAATCAATTTTAAATGATTCGTTACAAGTAGTTTAGGATAAAAGGGTAAATATTTAAATTAAAATAGACAGTTAAGGGGCTATTAAAAATTAAAGCTAATATTATGATTTACAGATTTTTTATTTTACATGTATGTAAAAATTCCAGTCTTTAAAGATGCCTTTACAATATTTAAACTGTATCTTGTACCACTTTTTTTAAAGTTCATACTTCATTCTAAAAATATATGAGTATAAATCTCATTGCTGTAAGAAAAGATGATGATTCAAATTCGAATGATATATTACTACACATATTTTTATGATGTAACTTATGGTATTCTGTTACTACCCTTTAGCTGCATCTCTGAAATTAATTTCATTTTATGTTCATTTTCCACATATATTCAGGAGAAAAAATTATTTTGCTTGAAAGAAGTTTATAGCTCCTTTTTTCCAAAATCCCGAATTTTCATGTAAAGGTAAATCCCGAATTTTCATGCTTGAAAATTTAAATTAACAACTATTTTGTATCTTCAATTGCCTGTTCAGAATATATAATGAAGTTGAGATATTGCTTATGTTTTGACAGGATTACTAAGTTGACAACCTTTGATGTCTAGCCAGTGTGATTGTTCCTAATGTATAAATCACCATTTATTAGTTTGCACCAATCTAATGCACAGATACTGATATTTATCTTAGTCTAATACACACTTTTGATTACAGCATTCTTATTAAGTTAGTAACGTTATCTCGAGCAGTAACCACAAACGCTTTTTCCAGTATAGTTCCAACTTGTAGTTTGTCAGTAATATAAAATTTATTTTATGTCTTCAGGACTTATTATGTTAAGTATAAGAAACATGAAACATATTATATAATTTAAAGTGCATTTAAAGTTTTTTTCAAATTCTTTAAAAAATTAAATTTTACTCGCCATACATAACAAAATTTCAGTATCTCTCTTACATTAATAACATAGGAACGAAGAAAATAAGCAAAAGGAAATTCATTGATTCAGCTAAATTTCTGAAATAATTCTTAAAAATTTTAATTTTTAATAGATTTGCTGTTTCACACCGATTCGGGAAATATTAAATTCTAATATATTATTTGATTGCGAATATCTTCATTTGAAGATAGAATTACTTAAGGGAATATTTGAAGAAAAAAACATTCTTCAAACATTTCTTCAAACATTCTGTTAAGAACAGAATTTACAGATTTTTAAAATACGTGGTTTAATTTTTACCTGCAGTCTAAAGTAGCAGCTTCTTGAAAGCTATTTCTGCTTATATTGGGCCTATATCTTTTGAGAAATAGTTCTCATAAATTTTCCATATCGTTAAGATCTATAATAGATGAATATAGGCCAAAGTTATTTTGCAAACATTATGAGACTAAAACCAGTTCGTAGCAGCAAAAGAAGAGTACAGAGACGCATTATCCTCGTAGAAAATACCGAGGGCGATTTCTTTGATCTTGAAGTTTTTAAGACAATTTTATTCTTATCAATGCTATATTAAGAGACTCAAGCTCTAAAATCAATAAAACAAATTTGAGAGCTTTTCTTCTAATTTCGGAAGCTCTTGAAAGTTCAGCTTAATTTGTTTTTCAGGTTTATAAAAAATAAAAGGACTGACTTCACATGAGAGGCTTCAAAGTATTTATTTAAAATTTCAAACCGGCTGAAGTGCAGTTTTGCGTGCTTGCGACAGAAGGAAGCCTTAGGACCTAATAAATATGAAATTAACTTATAACGATTTTTCTCCTCAGAAAGGCTATGAAATTTTTAACTAATTTTTTTCTTTCGAAGCCTTTTAACTTTTATTAAATCATTTGTTCTTCCTTTAATTCTTATAAATCTAAAAGGAATTCAAGTTTTTATATAAATTAAATACGTTTGATGTTTAAAGACGTTTAATGTTTTCATATAAATTAAATAAGTTTAATGTTTAAAGAACTCACACAAAAGCTAAGCTTTTGTCTCACTGACTGTGAGACAGCCTTAAGTATTTTAAAGAGATAAGATGATTTGACAAATAATGTTACATTTATGTATAAAATCTTACGTTATTACATATAGTAAACGAAGTCTTCTCTTTACGTCGGAACATGAAACAAAATATTGGAATTTATGCATTTTTTTGCTCGCTTTGCTTACAGAATTTAAGATTTTTATTAAAAAATATTTCTATTCGTACAATTTTTTTTTATTTTCTTCGTCTAGAATCTGATGTTTCGGAAGGCAATAGGAGCTGATACTATTCTGACTGATTATAAACCTCCTGAGGTCAGTATGAACTGTGCATGTGCCAAATTATATTTTTCGTGTATACTTGGCAGAATGATGTATGTCCTCCAAGTACTATAGAAACAGAACTTATAGATGTTAATTTAGAAGTCAAACAACAGAAATCAGCGTTATATTTGCAATATTTTCAGAGGACTAGTTTCGATAGTTTTACCGAATCATCATCCTCATATTACTTGTTGATGTTATCGGAGGTTTGGAACTCGTCCTCATGTTCTGCTAACAATTCTTGAGACGTCAGGCAGTGTGAATGCATGCCCAGTGTATATGTTATTCGCTGCCTTTGATATATAAGCACTGCCATTCGAAGGACCTTGCGGCTATACAGTCCCATTTTCAACATTCTTCGGTGCACTATGCATGTTCCAAAACTCAGCGCTGGACTTAATTTTGAAAGATTTGAAGGCAAAAATGAATTAAATAACCGCAAAGTTCAGAAAACTAGTTTTGCCAGACGAATAAACAGATACTGATTGCAAAAAGTTAGCGGACAAAATTAAATTTCGATCAAGTTTGATTTCTCGCAATCCAGCTATTATCAAAATTTGTTAAGCTCTTGCAAGTAAAGTAGCACTGCAAAATTTGATACTTTATATGAGAGTTAGTATAAGAAAAGGTTTTACTCTTTTAATGACAGAAAAATAAGCTTCCTTAGAGTAAAATATATTAAAATTTATTTTTAAGATCTAATAAAGCAAATGATCTTCTGTTTCCTTGCAGTTTTTATCGACTGAAAATAGTATGGTTCAAAAAGCAGACCTTAATCAAATATTTCAAATTTTAACTTCTAAGGGTTTAAAACTAAGCGGAAATTTCTTGTTCTCAAACTTATGGCTGGCCTTAGGCGTTATACCTAATGCTTCGGTTGCTGCTTAAATACTAAGACACAAGATTAGATTTTAGCGTCGAAGGGATGCGAAAAGGAGGGAGAAAATACCTTATAAGATTCAAGTTAAAACTAACACAAAACTTTATTAACCATAACTTGTTTGCTATGCAAATAAATTGGTAATAACTTAATTCGTAAAACTCAACAAAAATTACTGGCTGGTAAGTTTAACTGTGATAATCTTTATTTGTGATAGATAAAAATATTGAAAATTATTTGTCAAAGTCAGTATTTTTAAAACTTTTTGTAAGAAATCACTGCAAGAATTATATATCATACTAAATCTGTACAACTTTTGATCGCAGGTCTCGTAAGAAGGGGAAAAGAGGGAATAATCCAACAATCCACTGAAATTTAAGCATCTGGCCTGAGATACAAGCGCAATATTTTTTTACTTTGTTATATGTGAGAATATTTAAAAAAAAATAATTACTTATGATTAAAATAATTACTAGTTCGGTTTTCTGTTTTATGTATTTTCTAACTTGATCAAAATTTCTTCTTAGCTGATTGATAAATATTACCCAAGAGGATACATCGGCCCTGATAAAGATGGATGTCCTGTACGTGTCATGCCATTTACGAATCTCGATCTGCGAGGTAATTTTTTTTTTTTTTTTTTTTTTTTTTTTTTTTTTTATGCATAGATGAAGATTGATTTAAAATGTTTAGAATCTAATTCATGTAAATTATAAAGAAAAATCACATCAAGGTAGTGTTCAGAGTATGTCGGGAAATATGAAGTTTTATTTTTAAGGAATGTTTCCAGTAAATTTCATAAACGTGCTGCCATGGTTAAATTATTACGACCATCGGGTCCGTCGGGTCTAAATTTCTCATTTTTTTTATATTTAAGTTGGCATCTCTGATGTTTGACATTTGTTATGTTTAATCATTAAGGTTACTAAAAATGGATCTCTATTAAAAAAACTGTTTTTGCTTTTTGTTAAACATAAACAAAAAAACAACTGTACTGTTTTTGTTAAAACACAATAAAATAAGTCTTATCAAGCTTTAACTGTAAATGCAGTACGATATCGAACTTTTCGTGGGATCGGTTGGACGTTATGGACATCGAAGAAATGTGGCTTCAACATCTTTGGGCCACAAGCAAGAGAAAACCATTGATTTGTTAAGCCATTTCCCTGGCCGTATGTGGTCTTGCAACTTGACACCGTGCAGTTTTTTTCCTTTGGAATTTTGTAAAGCCCAAGGTCTATGCCAATAAATGATAAACAACTTCTAAAGTGAAAACCGAAATCCAACCATCCGTTATTGCTGAAATTGAGAGAATGACTTGGAAAAGATCTTCGAAAATTTCATTACAAATGTCGGGATATGCCATCATGAACATGACAGCCATTTGACCGACATCAGATTCCATAGTTAATCTCAACCTATCTTTTATATAACTCAATTAAAGTGCCCAATTAAATAATAGTTTACACTGTTTCGTTTTAAAATTAAATCCGGCATATTGGAGTAAAACTTGGAAATCATCAAAATGCATTGTTAAAGACGTTTTTATAAAGCAATAGTAAGGTAATAAATTTTATTTTTGTTGTTAACATAATCTTAGCTTTTAGCTCCTTCTAACTTAAGAAATCTTATCACTCAAGAAGATCTTTCTTCATTTTCTTTCAAAATAAGCAAATCTGACATACAACACTCCAGAAGTATTATTTGGAAATTCATAAACGAGATTTTCTGTGTTATACTGGGTGTTTTATCTCAGTGATTACAAACTTTCGGAGAGATAGAGTACACCTAGACGAGGAAAAATCACACAGCAATGCATGGTCGAAAGCGTTTTCCTAGCATTGTAGTAGGGGTAGTCCGGTGTATTGGCCAGCAAGATCGCCAGATTTCAGTTGCATTGACTACGTCCTCTGGGGGTATGTCAAGACACCGGAACACCCGCTGCTTTCAAGAACATCAAGTATTTCATGTGCTGGTGATGTGAGGCCTGCGTCACGCCCCGAGGTCGTAATTTCGAACACTTTCTTTGATGAAGATTGTTGTCTGTTTTTGTTCTTATTTCTTGGTATCTGCTATACTAAGTATAATAAACATATTTTTTCACCCTGTGCGTGTCCTTCCTTTTATATGTTTTGTGTTGCTACTACAGCGTCAAGACCATGCATTGCTATGTGATTTTCCATCGTCTGAGTGTATTCTATCTCTCTTGAAGCTTGTAACTACTGTGTTGAAATACCCTGCATAAGAAAGTGGTCTAAAACTGCGGGCCAAAGGCGGTCTCTGGAACAATTTTGTGTGACCCGTATGTACATTTCAATCATGCTTTTTGGGGAGGGCAAATGCGCTGTTACAAAGATTTCAAGATATAAGTTATTTAAATACTGCATTTTTATTATTTTCATTACCATTAAAAGCGAGCATAAGTAACGTACCAGGAATTCTATAAATTAATTTACAACTAAATTAAATTACAATGTGACATAAATCTTATTCAAAGATTTGAAGGTACAGGTTTTATTAATTTTAATTCGTACTGGTCAAAAAATAAATAAACTCAGTTACAAATTTTGCACTAAAAAAATCACTTAGCTTAGGAATACATTTATATATGAACTTATAATATATAATCTCAGTTTGAAAAGATAATATTTAGCTCATCAATATATTTGAAAAATAAATCGCAACCAATAAAAATGTCTTGCAGCTAGCAAACTTTAGATTTCAGATGGAAAATAAACATAAAATTGGATATTTTTTTTTCGGGGCCCACCAGCGGCCCGCTGAATACTGGTAGTTCGGTCCGAGGTTCGAATCCCGCGAAAGGGCTGGCTGCATGGGCGTTTTCGTGGTTTTCCCCATGTGTAACGTGTATACGAGTCAATTTCCCTTAGGAAGTTCTCCACGAAGGCATCCCTCCCCTTAGGCAGATAGACCTAGTGTGCTTTACCATAATTAAATAAACCAAACCAAATATGTTCCCTTTATTATTATTTATGTATGTACTGAATTTTTAGAAAGCGAAATTTATATTCTTTTTATTTTGTTAATACAAAATTTTCATTCTGTTAAGAAAATGTTTCGTTATACCTTTAATGATAAACTTCATCTTTCTTATAGGCTCATTTTATACTTCGATGCAAATATGATTGACGCAGTTTGTCAGGAACTCATATTCAACTTTTTTCTTCCTTTTGCTGCACGTTTTATAATGATTATTTTTGCTTAATTTCAGAAACTGTATATGCATATTTTTGAATGATTTGAGAGTTGAAAGAACAGATTTGTTTGATTTACAAATTCATACCATCAATACTGAGTTATGTATGTGCTACTTTTATGCTCCGGACTAAATAATTTTCACTAATAGTTTATATATGCAGTACTACTTTAAGCTCCATAATCCAAAAGTATTTTCCAGGATTTTTTATGACTTTTGCTTGAAGTTTATTACTTAGTTGATGTAAACATACTATTCCATAATGCTTGTTCTCCATATTAAACTCTTTTTTGTAATTTTTGTCCAAAAGGTTTGATTAATAGCAAGTAATACTCAGAATAAAATAATGGTGAAAGGAAATGTACGTAGACTGTTTCTTATAGACTGTCACAGGCCGTTATATTAAACACTGCTTAGCAAAGTTTCCTACCCGTAATTTACACTTCCTTCCAGGCATCTGTGGTGATGTAACGATTAACCTGTGATTTTATGCAGTTTTAGTTTAATTTTCTTCAGAACAGTCCATTAATATAAAATTACAAAAGACAAGTTTCTTTAAAATAGAGATTTTCATTAGGAAAAAAAAAAAACTGTAATTAAAAAAAAAAAAAAAAAAAAATCCGAGAGACTAAAAATTATTATTTCATTCAAGTGTTTTTGTATAATAAAATTATTTGGATTTTTTTTTTTTTTTTTACAGTGAGTTTTATTCTTGCGATGGTTGAAATTATCGAAGAGCTTTCTATATTTTTTTAACTTTCTGTGTGTTACCTTTATTTATTAATTATCTTGTTATTCGCACTTAAACCATAAAATTTAGTTCAACAGCAATATCGCAATATTGCAAAATAATTTTAAAATGAGCATATCTTTAAAATTTCCAATACACAGTCTCACGCGCGGGAAATTAAAAATGTTTTCTTCTCCTGTATTGCCATTCCTCGCTTTGAAATCGTTGAGTTTGTTAATAAAAAATTCTTTAATGTCTGAAAAAATATGAAATAGATAATAAAACAAATTCCAAATTAGGGCTTCCAGATGCACTGGATATTTACGTTATTCAAAATTTGGTGGCTCTAGGTACCGTTATTTTATCACAATGCGAGAAACATACATACATTTATCTAGACTCTTCCTTATTTAATTTCTTTAAATATAATACAGGGCTGTAATACTTGGTGGCAGCAGTTTGAAAAGTGAATTGACGCAAAATACCAAAACGAAATTAATAGCCCTCCTGGGCTAACGCCCATTAGGATAAAAAGACAGAGAAAGTGAAAATAAAGGGAGGAAAGAAAAAGAACTTAGCAGGATATTCTTCGCATAAAATTCATAACATAACATTTAAACAAAACTTTGATTTAACATTTGCTTGTGCACAGTATTGTTGTTTTTTAAATATTGTCACACATGCAAGATCAGCACCTCTTTTATTTAGCGATGAAGAGTTCAGTGGGCACCCGAGGGAACTTACTTTTGAAAGTGGTATCAAGATTCACCCAATTTGTTCTAAGTGTCACAATGCACCCGCATCACCGGCACATATCCTTGAGTGCATGGAGTTGTCTCTTGTGGACCTTTACTGGTCTCCTAAGCTTGTTTTCGATTTTTTAAAGGTGAATGGACTCGTGGGCCTCGTCTAGTATATTCCTAGGCGCGGAGATTAGTAACAGCAACAACAACAACAGTTGCTCAATTTGAAATTTTGACCTATGGTTTCGGAGAAATCGTGCACGTAAGCAAGAAAATTATAATTTCACCTATACAGGGAAATTATAATTATGAGAAATCTTAACTTAAAAATATACTTACCATCAAACCCTGTAAATGCATATTATTTTTTATAAAAAATATAAAAATGTACTTTTAATTTAAAGCTAGTAAGTATGTATAATTATATATTTAAATAATATATAATATATATTTATATATATTTAAATAATATATAATTATTATAAATTTAACTGAGACATATGAAAAGTGAGGAGTCGACATTTTTATATGATTTCGAATTTTACTATAGTTTTAAAAGATCAGAAGAATTGCCGGTTTGTACAGATACAGTATTTATATAATCAAGCAAAATGTTTTTAAATTCTAATGAGAGAGTTCAGAGAAATTATGCATGGAAACAGGAAAATCCCAGTTTTGTAGAATATTAATTTTAAAATGAAATTACCTTTAAATCCTGCAAGCGCGTCACATTTTTTTATTTTAATAAATACATAGACAGATATGTTAATGAATTCACTTTTCTATCGTGAGTATCTATATATTTATGTAAAATTGTGTGCAGAAGCATTTTATATGCACAGTTCGGGAGATTTAATAGGATGCATTTTCTGAAATGCAGATATAAACAAACTGTTTGGCTTTTTAAACTGTCTGGCATTTTAAGCTCAGAACTTTTTTTAACTATAGTTGTAAAGCGAAATTTTACATGGGCCTTGTTTTACATATGTTTTGCTTGTAAGCAATCAAATTTTAATATAAAAACATAAAAATAAATTTCGATTTTATGGTCTATTTAAATGCACCTAACCCCTTAAATATGTCTTGAAAGCATTTTGTAATTTCACACTTCATCCAAGTTTCGGACTGGCAACGTATATGTTCTAAAAAGTACTCAATAAAATAATAATACACAAGAAATACTCAGAACAACTTATCAGAGCAGGAATTGATTCTCCTTAAGAACATTCATGTTAATAAACCACAAGGTTGATTATTTCTGGCAAGGTGTGCGAAAGTGGTCACTTGTCCACCTGTTAGAAAATTTCATTTTCCCGTAGGGATGATGTGCGCAAATGCCACTTGTGCGAAACTGCCATGTGCGCAAATGTCACATTAGCCTCAAGCTTAATTCTTGACGAAAACAAATATCTCTGCATTAAGACTTCGATTTATTTTTGCAATAAAATGTTTATATTTTTAAGGAAAAGTCATTACAAATGACAGTATGATCATATAAGTAATATTTCAATAATTCGCAAGATTTTAGAACTAAGTTTCTTGCAAAATTCTAACATGTCTTTGTGAATATTTGACATATTATCGTAATGAGGATAACACACATGGATTTCCTACTGATGTACTTACAATATTTTTCAGGATTTGTATATTCTGTGCAGAAATCTGAGATACTTAGATTTTTAACCTACCTTTTCGAACAAGATATAAAAGAGATGGAAGAGATGAGCAAGAAAGTAAGTACTTTTCAAAATGCTCAAATTTTTAAGAAATATAGAAAAATCACGAACTTAATGTTCTTATAAAATTATAGCCTTGTCTAAATGTTTAACTTAAATTATTCACTTATTGGTTAGACGCTTTTGGTCATAGCAAATACTTCACCGATAGCGTTGTTTCTATCTTATTAAATATGATCCTCAATGTAAAATTCAATGTTAAGTATTATATTTGCTTCTCTCTACTCGCGAAACTGCAAAAACTAAGAAAAGTTTTACTTTAATAATCTGCTCCAAATTACAGTGCCAGAACTCAGAAATTTAATGCAATACAAATTACCTCAAATCTATAGAAACTAAAATTAAGATAGCTAATATCATGGATGGTTCTCACCCTCTCAAATTTTCCAAATCAGTAAAAATTTAAATAAACTTATTTCAGGAGCTGAGTCCTCTCAGTCCTTTTGACCTAACCTCTCAGTCATTTATAGCATAGCACTGAAGGGCTTATTAGCTCAAGTAGAGGGATCTATTTCTGAAGGACTTTCTAAGGGTTCTGTCTCGTACTTACTTTACATACGGAGAAAATCACGTAAACGCCCATGCTGCCAGGCCATTCATTAGGAGTCAAACCGCGGCTTTCGTAACTTCCTCGTGAAAACATCGAGCAACCAGCGCTTAAAAATCTTCATTTGGTTACCAGTGGTCAAAAGCTGATAAAGCTGATACGCCACTTAATTCTTAATGATATTCAAGAGATGCATATCACTTTCTTAGAGGTGCCAAATCCTCACATTGAGAATTACGATGAAAAAGCGCATTCAAATCTAGCTGTATTCTCGAATTTTCATACTTCGACTCCTTTTGAGAGATGGCCCACCAGCGGCCGAGCGGTACAGACGCTGAACACTGGTAGTTCGGTTCGAGGTTCGAATTCCGCGAACGGGCTGGCTGCATGGGCGTTTTCGTGGTTTTCCCCATGCGTAACGTGTATACGAGATAGTTTCCCTTAGAAAAATCCTCCACGAATACATCCCTTCCTTTAGGCAGATAGCCCTCGTGTGCTTTGCCATCATTGAATAATCCAATCCAATCCAATTCTGTTCAGAGATGTGTTGAAATGAGAATCAAAGAGAGACTAGTCAGTAAAATAAAACCTTGCATGTGGCTCTTACGAACAGTCCGACGCACCATGCATAGCAAATTAAAAACATCACTGAGAAATTAATTTATTAATCTCTTATATAGATAAAATGTATTTGTATTAAAATTCTGCAAATAATAACTTTTTAATAAAATCAATTTTAATACGACTGTTTTTTATGTAACAAACTCTTCTGGTGCAATGATCCACAAAATGTTCCGACCGGTCTTCCGTGAGATTTAAGTAACTTTCCTCTCAATATACTAGCTCATCGATTGTCCAAAATCGCATTATAACGACCCTCTTGTATATATGAATATGAGAAAACGTGATCCTTTTCCTGAAAATAATTTCCTATTTTGTGACGTCCATGAGCAAACAAATATAAGTGTAATCATCCCCAGTTGCTTTTCAACACATTTATCCTGAGCAAAATTTAAGAATTTATAATATCCAATACCCTCAAATCTTATTTTCTTACTACTGCTTACTTGATGATAACCACCAGAATCGTTTGGCTTTTGCCCTTTCTTAAACAAAAAATTATGTGTCTAAGTAAATGTAAAGAAAGTCACCTCTTATCTTGCAATAGCGGAAATAATGGCACCTATGGATCTCTCCGTGTAAAGTCCTCAAACGCAGATGAAACAATTCCTTGCAGGGCCACGGCGGGCTTCCTTGAGAGAGGTGCTGAAGGTGAGACGTTAGGTAGCTCGCCACACGAGGAAACTATAAAAGCCTTGGAACTAAATTGAAATTCATGAAAATACGTTTAAGCGACTTTTGATACTACTCCTTCAAACTTCAGGGGTCAGGGAGTCATAAGTTCAACCTAACAATTTTTATTCTACCGGTAGTTAGTCGTCTTTTGTCACGTGCAACTAGGTCGTCTTGGCGTTAGTATTCATAGATTTAAAATTTGTATGTAATTTTTTTCTTTTAATGTTACTTATTGGGTGCAGTATTAAAGCATGCGTTTGTTCATTTTCTCCCTCCTGCCAGCATGCGTTCGTGGTGTAAAGGTAGCACACTCGGTGCGTATTCGAGAGGTCCAGGTTGGAGTCCCGGCGAGGGCATTGCTCATTTTTCAAGTTCCCACATTGGTATAAAGTAATGACTCTATAGTGGCGTCCGAACTAAAAGGTGCTGAACAATAATTCTTCACCTCCAGGATTTCGCGACTGGGTTCCCTAATCTAGTGTCGCCCTTTGGAAGGGAAAGTATATAAGGTACTTTCTCCCTCCTTCCAGCATGCATTCGTGGTATAACAGTAGCACAGTGCGTATTCGAGAGGTCCAGGTTCGAGTTCCGCGGAGGGCAGGGCTATATTTCAAGTTCCTGCATCGATAACCTAGTGTGTATAATATTTCGTGCTCAAAATAGGATTTAGTGCCTGCCCACCAGCCTCTGAGTACTAGTAGTTCGGTTGGAGATTCGAGTGGCGGAGAACGGGCTGGCTGTATGAGAATTTTCATGGGTTTTCCTATGTGTTATGCAGACACAGGCCAGTTTGCCTTAAAAAGCCATCCACACGGCATCTACCATTTCTGTGTACTGTCTAATGGGAGTATTTAATAAATAATAAATAATAAAATAGTGTTTAATATTTATTAATACTGGTGAAAGGGAAATAATGGTGGCAGTCTTGTGTCATCCACCCCAGCAAAATCATCAATTTTCATTACACTCACCTCCCTCAAGGGGTTATATGAGGGATGTCGGTGGGACCTTAGATCTCACTAAATGTGAAGAAAACAAAAAATTTCAAATGAAGAAAAGGATTTTTAAGAGAAATAGATGGAAAATATATGCGATCTCAAAATATTTACATGAATGAAGCCCGCGCTACATTTAAAAGTGGAGAGAAAATTTAAGATTCTATGATGATTTTGGCATTGAACTTAAAGATCGCTTCCAGTCTAATAAAGTAAAAATAATATTAATCTAATGCATTCTTCGCAGAAATTCTACGTAAAAGTCAATTATAAGAAAATCGTCCATAGTTAATAGTATTCGTTACGATGACATCGGGGCGCAGGCAATTAAACTCATAATTGAGAAATATAACATCTGAAGTTCGACTGAATGAATGTGCTTTATTTGTATTCGCCAGAATATCCATTTAAATTAAGTGAAATTATTTATAAATTTATTAGTCACCAATCATAAATTAGTTCTTTTCAAAGAGTTAATTCAAAAAGTTACAGTAGAGTGGATCATGAGTAATTTTTGGTAATTCGCAAAAGCTCTTGATTTTTTGTTATAATAATTAAAATGTTCATATATATTTGTTATAATAATCGATAATAAATATTCATAATAAAAATAAATAGCTATTTGGTATATTTTCAATTAATTTATTTTTAAATAATTATAAATATATAAATTTTTGATAATAAAATTACTAATTATTATCGACTTGTTTAATATTATTTCATTACACACACTTCTATTCTTCTAGCTTCTTTTTTAAGAGAAGGTATACTTTGACTGTTACCCACACTTGCAGTTGCATGCATTTGCAATCAGAGCCAGCGCTAAGGTTTTTAGCGCCCACCTGAGAACTGAAAAAAGACGCCTTGCAATATTTTTTTATATAAACTTTCTTTGCAATCCGCGAAAGATTTATAGAAAAAAAAAGCAATAAAAGGACACTTAAATGTATAACTGAAATATTTATGAGAAAAGTTTAAATTCAGCTCGACATATACTTAATATGCCTTTGCTAGCTGGTCAAGTAAAATTGGCAAACGCCATTTTTTTTCTCGTTTGACATGGTTGTATGTAAAAATTAATTTTTAGATGCTAAATCGATCATTTATATTTTAAACAAAATCGAGTTTTCAAGTTGTGAGAGAATGTTAAATTGCTACATACAGGTGATTGAAGAATGTTTTAAGGGTTTTGAATTTTTAATAAATCTTTAATATATTTTCAATCTTCGTAATTTCCACAACTTAGCATCAGCATGATACCAGATATTTCCGCAAAACAAAATGATAATAATTAAATAAAAATAAAGTAAATAAGCTTAGAAATGAAATTAACCTTCATTTGTAATATTATTTTTGTTTTCATCTAGAACACTTGTGCCATTTTTCAGTTAATGTAAATAATTTGAATTAATGAAAGATGTTTGTAACCTCATACCTTACCTAACATGATACAAAAAAATCTTCTGCTTAATACCTAATAATAAATCTCAATAGTACAATCTTTCTGAAACACACTGTCCAAAAAGAGAAAGAAATATGCAAAAAAAGAGAATTTTCTTATGTTCACTAAATTATTTTTAATGATAATTGAATCAAAATTACGGGATATGTGTTTTGTCTCCTATCTGACACGTGACGCTTAGGAAGACAATAGGGGAACTGGGGAAAAGATATTTTTTCTCAGGTGATAAAGGAGAAGGGAAAATTGGACGAAATGTCGTTTGGACGAAAAGACATATAAACCTTTCAGAGCACTGGTCGAGATAAACAATGCTGACCTAGGAGGAAATCCCGGGTAAACCAGTTCCTTAGTTGCGATTCACCTCTCGGCTGTTATATATCTTAATGAGGTTTCTAAATTCCACTCAGCGATCACTAGTTTCGAGTTATAAATAATATATTTTCATCATCAGACCCATTGTGGACCTACCTAAAGTTTAATGGAAGTACTACAACACTAGAACCCTTGTATAATCACACCCTTATCGACTTGTCTAGCTGCGGTTAATCAAGGAGATTTTATTCATTTTTGCTTGCCGCGAAATGAGAACTGAACAGATTGAATGAGAAATATATCTCTAATGAAATTCGAGGAAATAAGTTTTAAATGAAATTCAGCAAAATGTGTATGATTTAATAGGCCGTACATGGAAGTCATGTGGTGTTCACATACATGATTAATGAACATGATTTGATTGATGATATATGCTGATTCTTGATACATAACCTAGAATAAATTATAAAAAGTTCTTTTAGGAATATCTTTGACTTCACAAAATATTTAAGTATTTTGTATTGTTGATAGATATTTTATTAAACCTAATGTGATATTTATAATGTGATAGCACAAGTACAATTCAATGAATATCATATATTGTATTTAAATACCCTGATATAACTGCAGATACACGATTTTTAGATTTAATTCAATTTCTAAATGGTATAATTATAAATAAAAAATTTGCGGAATGTTGGGTTTGACATTATGATGGTGATTGCACTTCTCAAAATTAAATGTTAAATACTTCGCTGTGGTTCGTATTTACACTGTACAAGGGGAAAATGTCGAAAACATTCCACAATCAGCCCTGATCTGCCTGAAGCAGAACGAACCTCCTCTACGAAGGTAGAGCCAACTTAATTGCAAAAATTCAAACCCTGGTCTAATTTCCAGGTTTCCCACTGGCAAGCCAGACGCAGGAAGAGAAATGAAACGTTATAAATTAGGACGCTATGCTTTTCTTGCTTTGTTACATCATATTAAAATTTTCAATTTAATTCATTCTTACGAAATATAAAAGTTTTTACTCATTTAATTTTTAAGATTTCCCATATGTACTTTACGTAGAATTTTAAAGATATTTTGACGAATTTTCAGTATTAATTTTATTACGATAAGCTATCAAACCGAAATAATTCCTTTGCGCGCTTCTGATTCTCAGTTTCTAACCAGTTAAAATTAATGCCTTTGGATTTAAGTGATTAAATGAATTTTGATAAAAAGAAACAGTTTGTAACTCAACACTTAAATATTCAAGTGATATTAAGTGCTAATGAAATTTCATCATTAATATGTAGTTTTAAAAATCACTTTCAGTTGAGCTAAGCCATATAATAATTTAGAAGTTGTGTGACGGATATTTTTAATATTACCAGTTGCTGTCATTAGTGGTGACAGAATAAGCTTCAGCAAACTTAAAATAATGAAAAAAGAGAAATGTCAAGTATGGATATTTTCTTAACAGAATAATCAAGACACTAAATTATTTTGCATATTAGAGCTAAAAATATATATATTGGGAATTTAGTATCGTTAAAAGCAAGAGCAAATTTTTAAAAATAAATTATAAAATAAATATTTTTTGAAAAATTATTGCAATGTCTTTATAGTAATTGCATTACTACATATATTCTTCAAAGTTTATTTAAAGTTATTTTTTGTTTTAAATCATTTATGAAAAATGTATTTTTTACTTTTTATGTGTTATTTTTCCTCATATAAAAGATATGATTAAAAATTAGAATAAAAACTATGATATTACGATTTAAAACAATTACATTTGTTGAATATAAAAATGCCATAGGTACAGTTAATTTGCTTTATGTTACGAGGGTGCATATTTACCCGTTTGTCTCGATGACAAAATATACAGGCACGGCTCTGCTGTTGAATAATGTAAAATTCATTCCTTCAACGCCTAACTGGTGCATGAGTGATGTCTTTCCCGCTGTCTCCAAAGTCTAATGTAACTTTCCTAAAGCGATTTCAGATATACACAATACAAATCTTCCTCTTTTCTCTACGAGCATTCTCTTCTAGGCCAATTTTGGCCTCTTGCTACGGGTCCATCTTGGAACTTTAGTCACTGACATTCTTAACATATGCACTATTGAAAGTCCATTTTCTATATTTAATTTCTTTTATTACAGATTGCATCGTTTTCTTATGTAAAAACTTAACTAATCTTTTTTTCTCGAATATGAGATTTATTTTAACGGGAATATTTCTTTTCAGACTGGAAAAGTTATTGAGAAGCATTCGTATATTGTTGATGTGGATGGTTACACCTTTCGACAGGCCACAAATAGAGATGGTAAGCTTATTCTTTAGTTATATTACATGCTTTAACAAAAAACCCAGGTTTTTAGTTACAAAGTGAAATAATAAATAAAGCACTTTTTAAAGAGAAAGGCAGATTTTGTTACTCCATGAGAACTAGAAGTGGATATTAAGAGTAGCGATTAATTTTAAAAAAGAGTAGCAGAATTTGATGCACAAACTCAGAGGAACTAGTCTTTAGATAAAAGTGAAGAGAAAAAGGATTCATATGTAAATAACATCCCAAACATGGTACTTTAGTAATACGTTTTTAGTCGAAAAACTCATTAAATGTCAGTTATTATCCAAAAAATAGTCGAAAATTGTTTTTAAAAACTCTGCAATAGTAATTTTTTTCCGTAAGAATGCATCACACGAAAATTCCCAGTGGGTCTTGGATATATTACATAAATTTTCTTTCGCTAATCTAGCTCTAAGAAACGTGTATTAATAATAATATGCTACAAAACTATGATAAGATGAAATATTTTCAGCGAAAATTACAGCAAAGCTTAAAAAGCTCAAACCAAAATGATTGCTATGTAATAGAAAATTTACCAAAAGATGCGGTATTATTTCAAATGTAGAACATATGAAAAGAGATACTTGCAATCAGCTCAAGATTAAACTTATAAGGTATTTCTCCCGCCTTCTTAGCATGCCTTCGTGGTGTAGTGGTCAGCACGCTCGACGCGTATTTAAGAGGTACGTGGTTCGAGTCCGGCGAGGGCATTCCTCATTTTTCATCTCTCCTGCTTCGAAATAACATAATGACACTACAAACTTACTTAATTGTATTTAACGTAACCTGAAAATTCTTTTGTAATATAATATCAATAAGTTAATGCTCTTATTTTAAAAGTAATGAACGTTAGGTATCATGTAAGTTCCCTTTTGTATGCATTTACACGTGTCCAACTACATGATATAGTAAATCAGATTATTGTTCATAGATTTGCCTTATATATAATAGTAATAATAATAATAACGAAATTCTTACGTCTGTTCCATCTGCTAAAAACAATCTTTGTTGTTATTATTATTGTTATTGCCTAATCTTTATGTTGTTGTGACAAATTTTAAGATTATTAAGTGCAATTATAGTTTTTAAATTTTCAAACGTTTTCCTCTAAAACTCGTTTTCTTTTCCTTCAAATTTTGAAGCTCTGAACATGCTGAACGAAGTTTTAAAGCTCTATGAAGCAAATTACCCAGAAAGAATGAAAACAACTTATTTTATCAATGGTAAGAAGCGCAACTATTAAGTATTTAAATTGAAATGGATTATTATTTTATTTAAAATTTGAAGAGTGAAATTTTTATTATTCTAAAAACTTAAGGTACTTCCTCAGAAGCACATTGGTTACATCATGTATAAACGAACATTTTAACGTTAATAATACTGTAAAAGTCGATGAAACAGATTGATGAACTGACATAACCAAAATAACATATTTCAGAAATTCCTGTTTTTACACCATTTTACTATAAACGAAAATTGTCAAAAGGTTTTCCACCTTCACTTTCTGCCTCAAAATTTCAGTATGGATGATGTTGAATTCGTTGAAACAATTTTACTGACTTCTGTTGCAGCTGCGTTATGGTTTTTTAATTGTCTAGACTACCAACATAAACACTACAAACATCGAGACCTAAAGGAACAAACTTCTTTGCATATTAGAGCTATTTTAAAATATGCGTTTGTCGCAACGGGCTACAAAAATATATCTTATTCAGCAAATATTTAGGTGTATGCCCTAGAATCAGTGACATATCCGAGTTAAAGAAGCTCGCTGCGAAACCCGGAGGCTAGCAGTACCAATAATTGAACTTAACGGTTGGCTAATATTTTCAGCTAAAAAAAGATTAATATAAACAGTATCATAGGCATATTTTTACTTTAAAACAAGCATACCAGTCTTAGCGCAGGTAGACTGTGTCGACACCACCGACTGTGTTCGCTGTTCCTAACGAGGGCACAGATACTTTAGTTTCCATTGAATAGTGGGGTAGGAAAGGATAGACTTCTCTGACAAGAAGAAAGTTTCTGCCTTCACGTATATGTTAAAAGCACACAGTTTTTTCGCTTATATGGCTACTCATTTACATTAGTTCTGTTATCTCACATGGTATTTAATTTTATGATTTTTTAAATGTGTGTTTTTTTTAAATATAATACAGATTTTTAAACAGTTTTTTAAATGTTTATAAAAATGTATTCTTTAAAAAAAATTTTTAAACGGTTTTTTTTAATTTTTATTACAAACTGTTAAGAAGAAATAAATGCATTTTGTAAAAGTTATTTTTTTACTTCTTTTAATACAACAGGATCTCACAAGGAGATTATCTTCAGTAAATTAAATTATTTAGTTACAGCATACAATTACCATAAAATTCTTTTCGTCTCCTGAAAATTTGAAGTGCTTTTAAACGTTTACATCACAAAGAACTGATCATTCTTGAAATATATATAAAAAATAGCAGATGATTTCACAGTGATAGTGTTAAAAAATATAATTATTTTATGAAGTAATTGATATAAATCATTTCTTGAGAAACGAGAATGAGCAATTGGAGGCCAGAGAGAGACTGAAAAACTTATCAAACAAATTCATGAACATAGAGGTACTGTGAGTTTTATCCACTTCAGTCATTTGAACACGTTCTTTGTTTTAGAGGTAATATACATACTTTTAATATACATAGTGATCTCATTACTGCTAGTATAATTGCTAATAAAGAAATATGTAAAGCATATTTTGCTGTAATTTTTTTATGAATAAAATAGATTTATCTGTTTATTTATTTTATTGTCAAAATATTGATATTGAAAGAAATTACCAAACACGATATATGCGCTTTTCTGGCATCTCATTGTAGATACAAATGCACTAAGAGTACTCCGGAATATTATGCTCTAGAAAACACACATAAGTAAACTTAAGAAACTCGTCTTCTATGTCAACAAAAAAGACATTTTGGTAAACTTGAAAAAATACACAGATGAAACTCACAAAAACTTTACAGATAAATTCACCCAAAAAGAATGGAAATCTTGTGCAAATAAACTATTGAGATTTTGCAACAAACAAATGTATAAAATTACCCCGTGAAAAACTTTTACGAAAACTATTTGGGAATGCAGTAACAAAATGGACCTATTCACTTATCTAGTTGGATGCTAGCTTGAATCAAAGATAAATTTAACTCACGAGAAATTTTAATAATATCTAATATTTTATTTTTAAAAACAAAGCCAAAATTGAAGGAGGGAGCTTAGATATCGCGAAGATAATGAACTGAAGGTATTCCACTGCCTAAAATATTAAACACTGCTTTATAAGATTCCTTTGAAATCTTGCAAGTCAGTGAGAACATTTTGAGGGAAGATGTTTACCAAACTCATTTTTCAGACAAGACGTAAATATATTCAACAACTCTTTAAGGTGGCTTACAGTGATTCGATTTCTTTGTGATTATATCAATGGAATGTGAAGATTTTAAATACTAGGAGAAAAGTGAATTAGCACATGTGGGTGCTTCTAAACGTAGATGGAATTTCTCTTGTTGAAACCACTCAGTTCGAGATAACTTTTTGGAAGCAACTATTTCCAAAAGCCAATCTCTTTCTTTGCCTTTTGCTTCAGATAAAGCCCTTTAAGCGGTTTGTAAGATATCAGCAGAAAAATTTAGGAAATATGCACACATCAGGAAATCCACAGTCAAAACTAAAGACAATTAAATTTATTAATGTTATCGAGGTCCAAAGGAAGGACTCACTACCAGCATTGGGCCCCCGAGCCCTGATTGTTCATCTCTGATCTAAAAAGCTAGTCGATCTCCTTACACTTTGCTTGGAGTGTCTTCGGAGATATAATTTCCATATACGGGTGCTGAAGATCATTTATCGTGATCTGCTAATATTTTTAAGTTCTCTTAAGCAGTTAAAGGGTAAGCAGTTAAAGGGTTAAGTCTTAAGCAGTTCTCCCCACACCCCTCTGATTAAAAATACGTACTAGTAAATAAAATGGTTTATATTGTTTTTTTAACATGAGAGAAATCAACTTAAAAAAAGATTCGAGATGTATTGTGGCATGCAATAACGCCGATTAACAAAGCAGCAACCACAAGAAAAGTGATGTACATGCTCATGGTGGTGCTAGAGGGAGCAGACGTTACATTGTCTTATCTACAAGGGTGGTAACCCACCGCATTTCAGTCTAAGCAATAGTTGCATACGAGGATTGTGAAAGGGACTCTTAAAGGAGCAACAGCCAGCTATATTATCCGTTTTGACTCAAGAAGATTGTTTTAAGGCAAAGCACGCAAGGGCCTGTCTGCCTAAGGAAAGAAATACCTTCGGAGAGAAATTTCTGAGGGAAAAAGTCTTGTATTCACACTACGCATAGGGAAAATCATCAAAACACCCATGCAGTTTGTCCGTTCTTTGGGATTTTAACCCAGGTCAAAATGTTAATGTTCAACAGCCTTATATAATTTGCCACTGGTGACTGGAGGTCTAACTAAGAAAGAAGCAAGAGGTACTGTAATCCATAGGTAAATGCCAAAGGTGTTTCCGCGGTTAAATGCATTCTTTAAGATAAGCAACAAAACGGGAAAAATATGAATAAAAGAAATATATTTTATGAATTCATTGGAAGTTTCATGGATCATGAAGTATAGCAAAAGATATTAACGTAGGAAAAATGCAAAGAAATTTACAAATAAATAATTAAATAATAGTGGATTTTCGGTTGCAAAACAAAACAGAAATAACTGTTGGAGGTCTGTCAAGAAGGAATGTGATGACCTAGGAAAAGTACACCACTAAAAGCGTCGGTTCATCCAAGTGTAAAATCATAGTGAGATTTATGGTGTCTGTGCTCATTCACTGGGTAGACATATTACTTACTCGCACGTGCTCTGGGGAGCATCATGGAAAGATATTAAATGCATTCCAAGCATGCTGCATTCATACTGCATGATTATTTGAATGGGAAGACCTGAATGGCCATGATATACAAAGCAGTGTTTTCGAATCTAAGTACTGGTCAACCAATGCAAGCGTACAAATTTCACACATTATCATCCATAAAAATGATATCAAGAACCCACGGGAGCAAGAAAATTATGAAGATATTAAGCAGAAAGCGGTATCTTTGTATCTTACTGCAGTCACAGTTATAGGGGGATATATAGAGATCAGTTTAGCCACCGACAGTAATTCCTGCCTAAATCATCATATCACTGCTTTTCATGCACATGCATTTCTTGTTGTTGTGACATATTTTACTTGTCTGACAGTAACATCAGAACAAGCTCATGAAATTCATCTACGCAAGGAGTTCAAGATTACGCCTGTTGTTGGCAAGAGCCTTGAGCACAGTACGACTTTGCTCAGTTCCGCCCCCAATTTTGATGGAGAGCACCCTGGGGGAGACGGATCCGAGGGTCTCCCACCCATCTTTCCGTACTACCGACTTCTCGAGAGGACTTTCGGCTCGCCATATATTTAAAATGCCTCACAGACACTATATATTTACAAACATCCATGTCTTCTCTGGGACTCGAATCCGGGCCCTTTGGTATGGCAGTCAGCGTCGCTAACCACCATCCCGGCTCAGTGGTTCATGCATTTTGCAATTGTTACTGGCATGATAGCCGAGCTCCATAACAGTAACCATGGGGAATCGATCTGTAGACCAAACCATGACCTATCCTTGAAGCGTATAGTATCCCATTGTTATGGAGTACAGCATTGATCTCAAAAGCAGTCTCTCCTTTTACGAGGGTATCTGTGAAGCAAAGACCATTGGTTACCTTACACGCAGTTGATTTGTATGCAGCCTTTAAAAAATGCAGGTCATCCTGTCAAATGCTGCAAAGTCAGAAGCAAGTTAATGTGAAGTGATTGACCTGTAATGTCGCTTGCAGACACAAAGAACGGTCATCCCGAGCGGTTGACAGCAAATAAGGGACACTTTGACAGTGAGTTTTCGAGTTGCTTCTAAGAGTTTCTAGCACTTCTCTACTAGAAGCATTTGTACCTCCTATTATCTGGTATCACTTAGAAGAGGTGCAGGCATGCAATTCATTTTCCAAAGTTTGGCTACTTCGGTTTTTCTTCTGAACTCAGTAATGTAGAGGTATACAGATTTACACAAAACACGACATTTTTATATCCAGCACGTTTACTTGTTAAAAAAAAGGCATTTTATGCAAAAGTGCATTCCGCGAACTAGTTCCCCTGACATACCTTTTTAAGTTTGCAAATTTTGCAGCTTCATGTTGTTTTCCTCCCCGAAAATATGACAGATTTTGCATTTGTTGCTTAACCTTTGAACCCAGGGACCGCACTACAGCTCAAAGTTACTCGTTTGGTAAATCTGTTTCTCAACCAGTAGCGTGCCAGCAATAGACTAGAGGAACTATGCTAGTTCCCAAACATTTCATGCATTAACACTTCGAAGTATATTTTTTCTAACATTCAAAACCATTAAAAGAAACATCACTTTACCTCCTTTGAAGCTAAACACCATTCTAAAGTAGTCGGGTTTTCGCGGGAATGAGCGGAGCTTGGGTCTCACTGGTTTTGTGCGAGACAGGACTAGCTGCTTTTATCTTTTCTTTTAACGGCCTGAGGGACTACCAGCAGCTGAGCGATAAAGTCGCTTAACACTAGTAGTTCGAATCCCGCGAACGGGCTGGATGGTGGGCGTTTTCATGGTTTTCCCCCATGTGTAACGTGTATCCGAGCCAGGTTTCCTTAGAAAGGCCTCCACGAAAGCCCTTAGACAGATAGCCGTCGAGATTTTGCCGTAATATACAAACCAAACCTAATGGCTTTAGATAGACTATTACCTACTGGCGGTAGGTCGTAAGAAATTTCTTTGTGATTTTTATAAGCAAAATTAATTTAATTTTTACTGCTATAGTTTAGTTCATATTTATGAAAGTATTCTTATGGACGTGTAAATAATGCAAAATAAAGTATATTGATACAGAAAATTCGAAGTGAAAAGGCGTAAAGAATGCGAAATAAAATATATTGATGCAATAATTTCAGGTGTAAATTATGGAGAGGGAAGTGGTACGAAAAGCTAGTCTTCACCCAAGGAATCATTAGAGTATGCTCAAGCAAAATCTCCGATGCCATATTATAACATCAGCTGTCACTTTCACAATCCTATAGTCAGATTCGCTTGCCGGTCATGTTTTTTGGAGATAATTTATTTCCAAAGGACACAAAAATAATGACAGAAGTAAATCTTCTTCTCATGTTCTCTGTACAAGCTTGCAACATTATTTCTGTTATTCCAAAGTGAAATATCATATCAATTCAAAATGATTTAATGATAAGCAAAATAAGAAATAATCTGTTTTCCTGGCCTTGTGCTCTTTTTTAGAGTGTTTTCAACTAATTGTTTATTTCTTATGATATCTATCAGATTAAAAAAAGTATTTATTTGTTATGGTAAGATCATTTTGACTTTACCTCGTATCCAATTTTCATAAATCCATTAAAGCATTTTAGCCATTATTGTACTGATTAGTCTTCAGATTATATCATTAGGCTTCACTCTTCAAAATATAATAAATATTTTTGTGACGCTCACCTCCTTAATATAACCACTTCTGAAATAGGCCTGTATTTCTGCGAACATAAATAAACACTAGTATTTAATTTCACCTGTCTAAGAAGACCACCAGCGAAGTCTGTGCGCGGTCGTCATAGAGAGGTTTATAATTTCCCTTCATACATAGACCCCTTCGGAAAAAACTACAGCACACTACTATTCTGAGTGCAAGGATTAAATGTTAAATGGGCGCTGCATGTGGCATGTGAAGTTTCTTTTGGAATTCATAATGTAAATCGGCAGTTGCTCCATCTACATCATGCGCATATTTCCTTAAGTTTGTGACTGTTTTTCCTGACTGCGGGTATAGAACACTGCAATAATATTATAAGATAATTTAACATAATGTTAACAAAAAATGTGACAAAATAATTTTCATTTAGAATATTAAGTGCTTTTGTAGGCTGACTTATGTGTGTGTGATTATGGCAAAGCCTCGAGGGCTATCTGCCTAAGAGGAGGGATGCCTTCGTGGAGGACTTTCTAAGGGAAACTGGCTCGTATACACGTTACACATGGGGAAAACTACGAAAACGCCCATGCAGCCAGCCCGTTCGCGAGATTCGAACCTCGGACCGAACTCGGCCGCTGATGGGCCATCTCTCAAAAGGAGTCGAAGTATGAAAATTCGAGAATACAGCTGGTGGGCCGTAGGCTGATTTATGAAACTCAAATTTATTCTTTCTCAGTTCTTTGTTTTTACTGAAAAATATTATAATTCTTTTAAAATTTTAATGCGATGTTCATCCTTTCATCGCTTTCATTTCATTTACTTTATTCAGTGTTTTTATGTTTTTAAGACTATATATATATATATATTACTGAATATGTTTCAGTTCCAACATATTTCAACATCGTTCTTAACCTGTCGAAACCATTTCTCTCCGAGGCGACTCTGAAGAAATTCAGGCTCTTTGGAAAAGGTATACAAAATTTTTCTGGTAACATATATATTAAATTGTAGAAATAATCAAAAGCGTATTCTTCGAGAAATTTTTTCGACTGCTTCCCTGTGTTTTTATACATTAACGAATGATTTGGTTATTATTCCAGTTTACAGTATTTATATTCCTTCAAGCTATATAGATAATTAATCCCTTTTATGTAACTGTCTGAAAAACATACTAATCGCTTACTTTCAGTCTTTATTTAAGTATGGATGAAGAGAAATAAAAGTATTTCTGGAAGTTCTAGTAAGAAATCTAAGATTGCAAAATGGTAAAAGAATATTTTCGAGCAACAAAGCAAACGGCATAGAAATAATTGTTTTCAATCTCAGTCATATTAAGATAAGCTGCAAAACTTAGTATTTCAAGAGGAAGAGATTCGAAATATTCTTCATCGCATGTTCATTTTTTTCATTTCTTAATCTTTTATACCAGATTCTCTGTGTATCACAAAGAAAGTAATATTTACCCCTGTTTTAGAGTCTATTATATAACTAATAACAATAAGAATCGTAAGAACAGCATGCTGGATTGATTCTTATCAGAAAACCTTTAAAGATCACGTTTTGAGGACTTCACTTCTTAAACTGCATTCTAACTCATTTTCAATGTGATATCTGTTTCAGAATTAAAATTCTGTATCTCCGAATTGATGGTCTACATGCCTCAGTGAATAGCTTCTAGTTTGCTTCAGTCTTTGGAATCTTTTTTTTTTCTTTTAATGTGTAAAGACCTAAAAATAACACTCTTTGTTCGGAAAATAAGTTAAGAAACATGTTATTGACTGTTCTTTCTCTTTGGATCTTTGGTACTGTATAATAAATTTGAAGGACACCTTTATGCGAATTTAGCAGCCTATTTTTCCGACTAATTTATTAAAAACAGAAGAAATAAAATCATGACAACTTTATACAAAATCGTTAGTATAATGGTATCGATTATGCCAAACCTCAGACTTACTTGATGATGTCTTCCGTATTAATTGACAAAATTAAGGATAGCTGTGACAGGAAAGGTAGCTTTATGCATGCTTAACTTTCCTTTTTATGCTATTTAATTAATATGCCTGGAAACTCAGTATTTTAAATCGAATAAAGATCCACCTCTCTACATTTTCTTTAATTTTTTATAATATATTTCAGAAATTTAACGCAGAAGATTCTAAAACATCTCTTATATTTCTGTAAATTATTTTACGACCTCCATTTAGATTTTGTATTGCAAAAGGTAGACATTTTTGTGAAACGAAACAAAATTTGAAAAACTGTCACATATTCATCATAAAAAATTGAGCATAAAGAAAGACATAGTGAGCAGAAAAAAAAAGTTCAGAGAAATATAATGCAATGAAAAAGAAATTTGTGTGACATCATCGATAAAACCTGAACAGCACCACTTTAAATTTCTGTTTGCTAATGAACAAATTAAACTCATAGTAACAAACGGCAACTTATTTTAATAAATTTAAATTTATCGGCTTTAAAAATTAGCAGCCGAATTTGTTAATGAACTCAAACCCCTGCATGTCAAAACTTTATTAATTTAACAGTTTTTATTTGAAAATGCGACTAAAGTGTTTGCAATTATATTTAATTTTATTTTATTTAAAATCATCAAATTATTCCAAAACTAATAGAAGAATAAACATTGTTAAAGAAATTTAAGTTATGAACAGCATTAACAAACAGATACCTGATGGAACTAATATTGCTTTAATTTTAAGCAATTGGATATACTTAAACCCTTCCAGTTCTTTATTGTCAACCAGTTGACAATGTGAATGCTTCCGCCGCTCCGTGAGTAGTGGCTCTGATGATGAGCTCAATAGGGATGAGAGGGCGCTGAAACATTTATTACGTACGCAAGCATTATTGGGTGGATGATAGATGGCGTTAACATGCTGGCTCTTGTTAAAATAAAATTTCAATATAGATAATAATCAACAATATACAAAACTGAGTTTTAAAATTATAGTTACGCGAAATAAACATTAAACAAGTATTTAAGTATTACACAAAAATGTGCCAAATTATTTAATGAATCGTTAATATAGTAATACATACTACAATATTTAATTACATGTCAACAAGCATATTGTAGATATTCCACGCTTAGAAATACCTCGAGGAATTTTCACAAGGAAGGCCATATGGCCCAGCAGTTAGTTCCCGAATCCCACCCATTGCCCAATTCCGTAGAGAGAGATTATCATCATTCAACAGAATCACTGAACCCAATGCTCATGATTTGTTTATCAAACTTCCATTTTCTAGCTCGTAAATAATTTAAATAATCAAGACATCATTTGCGCCACAAAATTTGAATAAAGTTATTTAATTTTTGCCATTGAAAAAAGTAATTATCTGTTTTATTTGTCACGTCTGGTTCTGAAACAATACTCAAAGGACGACCAATCAGAAAATACTATAGTGCTAAAATCTCAAAATCGTTAGGATCTAACGACATAGGCGTAAGGGCTGGACTATTTAAAATGCCTTCTGTCTAACCGATAGATCTTATAAACTGCTCTAAAGCTAACCGACACCTTTCTATTCATTCCAAATGGTTTTGATTGATTTAATACCAGCGTCCCGTAGAGTGGTAAAATCTGAGGATCTAGAAGGAATTAAATTTCAAGAAATTTCCTCGGTTGTTAAATAATCTGCCAGAGTATCTGAGGAATCAATAATAGGACTATTACATATGTTTTAATTCGGCACCAATGAAATTTGTGTCATTGTCTATGTAAATAAATGAACTTTTGCTTCTTCTACTGGAGGATTTTCTCGAAGTTGCTGTCATAGATTCAGCTGTTAAGGTCAGCCACAAATTCTAGATGCTATAAATGTAAATAAAAAGTGTAACATTGTAGAGACATTAGGATTTTTTTGGAAGCAGGCAAGAGGAAAAATTAGCAACGCCTTCGCCGGGAATCGAGCCACGGACCTCTGGAATACCGGCCCAGCGTGCAGAACCACTACACCACGAAAACAAGCTAGGAAAGCGGGAGAAATACCTTATATACTCCCCTTTTTAAAAGGACGACTGGGGTTTTTTAGGGGACCCAACCGCCAAATCCTGGGTGTGGAGAAATCTCATCCAACACCCTTTTAGTTCGGACGTCACTGTAGAGACATTAGGGGTTTTTTGGAAGCAGGCAAGATGAAAAATTAGGAACACCTTCGCCGAAAATCGAACCACGGACCTCTTTGAATACCGGCCCAGCGTGCAGAACCACTACACCACGAAAGCACGATGGGAAAGCGGCAGAAATACCTTATAACATAACATTTATAATAGACACCCTTTCTCTCTTCCTTACATTTAATAAATAAAGGGTTACAGTGATCAGTTCCCAGATGATTGAATTGGAAAGTGAGGGACTATGCTTTCTAAAGGAAAGTCTGTCATTATTCGCTCTACACTTGTCGGTTTGTTTTGGAAACAATAACTATCTAATGAATTATTTCATGACACATGACTGTGTTTCTTCTACCTAAATGTCAAAATTCTTATTTCATAAAGTAAAATAGTATTTGAGCTCCAACATGGAAATTTTGAACATGATAAAATGTTATAATTGAAAGAGTTAATTTGTAGCCTTTTGGGAGTAAAACTGAAAATGTTTTGTCAAATTAAATATCTAAACTGCATAGTCAGCTGCCTACTCGTAGAAAACTTTCTTTATCTGAAAACGAAATGCTAAGAATTGCATGTTCTGAAGTGACTGTCTCGGGCTTTGAAGCGCTTTAATTTTTTATTAAAACCTAACCCATGAGATGTTTTAATTAATCCTATATTACTTTTAAGAAATTCATCTTTAATGAGAGAACCTAAGAGGCGTCCCATACTTTTAGCTTTATGTAGGCATCTGAAAAGTCTAATTAGTTTTAAATAGCCATTGCTATTATTAAAAATGTCACGCTCAGAGGTATCAAAGTTAAATTAATGTTCATCTGCTTGAGTTCTGCTGAGCAGAATTCAACAGAAGAAATGTTTATGCTGTGTTCATTATCACAGTCATCGGAGGGTTTTGTGGCTCATTCCATAGCAAAGCTGTTGAGCAAAGCTCCTGAGGCTCTAAAACCACGGAAAAGAACAACTTCTGGGTGAAGATGGGAGGAAATATGCTTCCACTGAGAGTCTTTCAAAGTCTGTATCTTTGAGAGTGATAGTCTCTCAAAAAGATATAGTATAATCGGTTTAATGTTACGGTTTGAATACATTTCCTAATATCTGAGCGCACTTTTCCAAAGATTAAAATAAGTCGTCTCCAATTTAGGATCTTTTTTTGAAGTAGTATTTAGTTCGTATTGCTTACGAGTATATCTAAATTTTTGAAAATTTATGCTTATAACAAAAAACATCGGAAAGAATATTTCGATTATAATCAAGAAATTTTAATATTCTAATGTTTTTCTGGACACAATCTATTAGGTTTCATAAGTCTAGCAGCTATGAGGTTTTACTTAACGAATAATGTTTACAAGTGAATTATGCTATTACTATTGTTTCCCACGCATTCTTCTTATCCTTTTCGTATTATCGGTAAGCAATTTTTGTTTTACGGTGATAGTTTGTGACAACAGTTTTTTCATCACTCCGCAATAACCAAAGGGGCACGATTAATCGGGAATTAATTATATTAAACAAAAAAGAACAGTGTATAAGGGCTTTATTTTTCTTCTTATCTGTTTTGTAAACATGTAAGTGTTTTGAGTAGAACAATGCGTTTACCTAAACTATGTTCTTTTAAACTGTAGAAGATGACAAAAAAAGGAAGGGCTTAACTGCTCTTTATTCTTCACAATTCACAGGTGCTCCCGCATTGCGCGATACAAAGACCACCACTTGTGGTCTGAACGTAAGAAAATAAGAACTACAAGCTAACTAAATTTAAATAAGAGCTAAACTCGAATACCTTACACAGAATAGCAACACTAAGATTGGCCTTTTAGATTTTTACGTATGTAGTA